AGCTCATTCCCATCTCTTCTAACAGCTTTCCATGTTTCAAATTCACCATGAAAGTCTTTCATACAAAAAATATACTTCCAAGAGTTGGAATTGTTATTCAACACGGTTCCATATTTTCTTCTTGGATCACTTCTAGGATGTGGAGCCTCAGCAATTGAAAATGTGATCAAAGGAAAAAAGAGAAAAAAAATTAAACATACACGTAAAGAGCACACTCAATTTAAACATACACTCAAGGTTTGAACCCTACACGTTAAGACAAAAAATAATAATTGTAAACATACACTCAATTTAAACATACACTCAATTTAATCACACACTCAAGGTACAAAACATACACGTCCTAACGAGAATAAATATCGAGAACTCTACCCTCCAATATTCCATAATGTTTCCATGTTTAAGAGATAAATTTTCAGAATTTGGACTGAGTTCTAAACTAGGCTTTGCTGATTATAAAAAATGGTATATGATCGTAATATTGTTAGTGCTATGTAGTGATCGTAATCGTAATGATCGTAAAGTTTAGTACTAAGTTGAGATAGTATGATCTGATGTCTTTGGTAGTGTTTTCTTATAAAATGTAATCTTGACATACTCGATTCAGTTATTTGTCTCAAGAGTTACGAACTTATGGAAGGAAACAAGCATTACAGACATAGACTAACGGAAACATACACTCAAGGTAAAGAAAGAACATAATCATATGCTAACTACACAGTACAAGAAGAAGCACCAACGAGAATAAGAAGAAGCACCAAGGAGATTAGAAAGAGTACAGAGTACTTTAACCTTAAGCAAAAAAACTTGAGATCTATGTTTTTGTTACGTTATCTAACGTGTCTTTGATAAAGAGGAGGCTAGGGTTTTCATAGGTTTTTTGGCCTTTAAGATTCTGAATTAACATAAGTAGTTTACATGTAAGGCTGCTTTTTAATTAAAGTAGGGCTTCATACCTTGTTTGGTTTGGTTAACATATAGTATCCATGGTGTGCCTTTGCATCGCCTTTGATACCCTCAACTTATTGCCAAATAGATTTATTGCCAAAGCACTACATGTTGCACGCCTTACGAACCAAATCCTCGCCTTGGAGGTGTATGGTAATAGACCCCTCGTCTGACCTCGCCTTCCGCCATGGCGCAAAAGGCGCGCGCCATTTTAAACACATGACAAAATTGTTGAAGCATAAACTCAGACCCATTGAGCTAGCTCTTCTTTTATCCAAAATTACGGCTTGAAAAGAACTCAATTTTTGGAGAGCAAGTTTCGTTTCTAAAGACCAATTCTGACGCATGATGTAGCACCCCTAGACCTGAATAAGTCCTTCGGAACGGGCCATGGTTTGAGGGAACGAACCAGTCAAGTCATATGATCTAAAGACAAGCGTTTCATGGCCTAAAAGGAAGGTTAAGTGTATTAGGAAGCTAATATTTAACCAAATAAGAAATGATACAAAGATATACCAGCTGGACAAAGTGGTACAACAGCTTGGTGAAATGTTCAGGAAGCTCGGTCAGCTAAATGAGGTAAGACTTAGCTCGGGCCAGCTCACACCGAGTAGAGTCAGCTCCCTGAGCTGGACTGCTAGCTCACTCAGCTGGACCATCTGGGGATCAGCTCATCTCATCTGAACGATGTGCTAGATTCTTGGGCAGTTGGACCGGTCCGGGCCGTGGTCGGGTCAGCCGGTTGGGTCACATGGTCCAGCTATTGAGCTGATGGCTTGGACAGTCCATAGGCACGATCCTTGGGATATAGGAAGGGACCAGGCCCATGTCTGATCTGCCATAGGGTAGTTATAGGCTAATGGATGCAAATGTCAAAGGCTTTGGGCGAAAAGATGCGATGAGACCAAGTGGTGCCCATTCGCACACCAAATGGTGTCTCCTCGGCCTAGGCAGTTGCCCACGCCTTCTTCTATATATACAGGACCCTGGGCACAAAAATATTCATCATAAATCATAAGAAAACCAGAGAGAAAGAAGAGAGAGAGGAATCGATCCAAAAGGTTCAATATTGTGAAGACCACATCACGGCAAAGCTAAGATTGATTGTGGAGAGGCAAGGCCGGGTGGGATGGATCCCAGAGACAAGGAGAAAGAGTTGGAAAAGGGCACCAAGACCCCAGAACGTGCAAACAATATTAGTAACATGATCATCGATCCATCGCCAAGACGATCAGACGATCAGATGATCCGATGTGGTTCATAGCCATGGCCGAGTGTTTGTGTCCATCTCTCTTAACTATTTCGATTATTACTTTACTTCTTCTTTTTATCCTTTCTATTTGTGTTTTGTATAAGAGGGAAACAGTGTCAGAATGACTTGGTTAAATCCAAGTCGTGGCCGTGTAAGGCCATACTTGCAAAACAGGACCATGAACCGAAATTGCTATGATCTGTTTGATCACTGCTTGAAGATCGGTTTGGCCTGGGTAACATTCGACATGTATGAACACTACTGGGTATTAGATGGATTTCTAAGGGGACAAGACTTGGGCCGGCCCAAATGAGAGCATTATGGCTCAATGGGCCGATTTATGCGGATGGACGAATCGATCATCTGGTCGGTTCAGTTGTGTTGCGATTTTAAGAGAATATTATCTAATGGTTACTTAGTCTGTGGGGATGGTTGGTTGAATGACTAAGTTCCATGGGGATTTTTATATGCAGGTACAAGGCTGCGTAGAAAACAAAGGATCCGACCAGGCTGTGTATTCAGCCGTGTGATCACTGCAGGTGATGGGTGGTCCGGTTTGTGGTTAATGTGTATTGCAGTTGTATTTGGGATGATACCAAGTTATGGCGTGTAATATAGATGATACGATAGAGGTTAAGTTTTTGGACTTAGGAACTGAACCATGCTTTGCTCGATCATTGTTAGGATATCGGTTTATGTCTTCATACTTGTTGATATGTGGTTTCGGGAACTGAGGCGGATCGTGATCAAGCCAAGGAGCCATGAAGACTAAGTCAACGATAAGTTGTGTGGTGTTTGGGTAGATCATACTAGGGATGAACTTATGATAGCTTATGATGCAACTCGATACTTTGTAAACGAATCATAATTCTTTTATTAATACAATTGATTTACCCTTTGTTTATGTTTGTTATTTGAATTGTTCATATACATGTTATTATAAAAATGACTAAGTAAACCAAACAATACTTGTAAATGAAACAAATATAATGTAATGGGCTAAGTATGAGGCCGTGGGTCTAAGGAGGTCTTGAACCTCATGAGCGGGTCTTACACATGATAGCATAACAGTCTCCATTAACTTACTAAGCGGAGATGGAAACAACATGCAATCGAAACGTCGTAGGAGACTGAGCAAATTGACAGAAACTGTCGCTCCACAAGGATCCAAAAACAAACGACATAACAATTGCTCCACCAGGAACCGACAACTCTCAAAGCCGTGTCAGAGTCCACAAATATACCCATCAAAAACAGTTTTCACAACAGCTCATGGCTATGAATAAACCAGCATCAAACATACCCATCACTGCTTAAACGAAAACAAGAGCTAGAGCGATTAGAACACAAACCACGAAAAAACAGTAGGCGAGGATAGAAATCTGAAGAGACTCAACAAGCTTGCCTCCCACGAGCATCCCTGGGCAACTGAAAAACTATCACCACTTCTGCCACGACGAAGAAACAACCTCGAGACCCCACCCCAACTCAGATGAGCCAGCAACCGCGAGATTAGAAACTATGCCATAAAGAGAAACCGACTCCATCCACCGAAACAACCAGATCTTAAAAGACCAAATCCAGATTTACCAAAACCAAAGAAGAGATTTGATCTCTAGAACTCAGACAAGAAGTCAAAGAAAAGAAAGGTATATGGAGTCACTCCCGGCAGTGCAAAGGAGTGCCAATCGCCAAAGTAGCCAAAAGATATCAAACAACAATTCTTTAAAAGAGAAAATTAAGGGTTTTTTGGTAATTACAGCTATTTTTCTATAGTTAAAACCAGAGACATTTGAATGTTTTAAAAAAGGTCAGATGGATTTAGAAAATTGTATGGTCACAATCAAACTTTTAAACCTTATTAAAGTTTGTAAAACAATTAAAAAACACAGCCGCAACACAATAACCCAGTGTTTTCTTAAGAATTATTCATTTATGTATTATAGTTAATTTGAAGTTTTTTTTTAAATAGAATTTTACAAATACATATAAATTCCTTAATTTTATTTTTAAATGATAAACCTATCTCATTAAATAATAAAGATTACAAATAAATAAAAATATGAGAAATTTTTTAAGATAGACCTAAAATTTTTTTGTCATAAATATAGACTTTAAAAATAAAAATGACTAAAATAGACTTAAAAGTTTTATCAAAAATAAATAAATATACACTTTTATCCATTGAGTTCACTAATTATAGACTTTTTTTTTTGTTTAGAGTTGAGGAGTAGAGTTTTAGGGATAGAATTTCAAATTTTTAAAAATAAAAACTTCTTACATTTTCAAAATAAAAAATATTAGTTTGTTCATTTTAGTTTTTGATGTGTATTTTGTAATAAAAACTTAAAAATAATCTATTTAAGGGAATTGCCCTAAAAATATTAACATAGTATTATTTCGACATCAGTTTTGAAATTAAAAAACAAAATTCTGGTTAAATCCATCAAAATACAACAATAGAAGAGTGTTCAAAAAAAAAAAAAAAGTCAGCGTTAGAAGAAAGAAAAAAACATACTTAGGCTTCATTTCGTTCCCAAATAGAAAAGGAAAGAAAAAAATCACTCTACTCTCCTCTCTCTTTCTTTCTTTTCTTGCTTGTTGAGTTTTGTTTTCTGCATAATTAGATTTGTCTCTCTAATTTCATCCACCTTTCTCTCATGGTTCTCCCCCAATCTCTAGGGTTTGGGGCTCTAAATGAGTGCCGTGGCCATCAATAGCGAAGATTCCTCCTTAAACTCCAACAAACCTTCCACCGCTCAATTCCGACGACATTCGCCGCAGATTCTCCTCGACAATCATGTCTCAAGATCCATCTTCGTCTTCTTCAACCTCGAGGTATCCTGACGCCAAAGCTCCTCTTAGACGAGAGATCCACGCTCCTAGCAGGGGAGACCTTAGATACGGATCGTCACCAAAAGCTAAACCTAAACCTAACAACTGCTGTGAGAAGGGAGACTTCTTCACTCGCGAGTATGATAACGCCAAGAGAACAGCTTTGAATGCTTTCAGGTTCCTTAACAAAGACAAAGAGTTAATCGATTTGGAGGAAGAAGAAGAAGAAGCAGTTTCTCAAGGTTCAGTCGCTGAAGTTATTGATTGTGATGATGAGGAGAGGAATATTCAGACTCCTTCAGACTCTAAAACCGTTAGAGTTGATGACACTAGTACGATGCTTGATTCTTTGTCTTTAGGTAGACAGGAGACGACTGATGCTTCCAGCCTCCAAGCCTATAGGAAGCTTTTGCAGAGTGCTGAGAGGCGGAACTCGAAGCTGGAAGCTTTGGGGTTTGAGATTTTGTTTAATGAGAAGAAGTTGTTGCAGCTTCGCAACTCTCGTCCAAAGCCTGTGGACAAGAATCCTCTCAAGGTAGTTTTTGTTACTCCAATTGGACTTAGTTAATGCCCTTGCTCCATTCCCATTGATTCTCTATAATATGCATATCATGTTATTTGTTGCCTAATGGGTTCTTACTTTGAGAAAAATCATATCGGATGCATGCGTGTTTGTCTCATTGCTAGATTTGGATTGATTCTCTATAAATATGCATATCATGTTATTGCCTATAGTACTATGGACTGCAACTAGTAATGGTTCTTGCTTTGAGAATAATCAGATAGGATGCCCATAAGGTTGTAGCTATAGCTTATAGGCTACACAGTCACAGATTCTTTTATAAGAAGATTCCTTAAAGTTCTTGTTGTTAACTATTTCTTTTGTTATTGTTGTGGTTTTGGTTTTAAGAAGGTACCTCATCAACCCTTTATACCACTCACAAAGGAGGAGGAGGCTGAAGTCTACCGTGCCTTTTCTGGGAGAAACAAGTAGGTTGGTTCTGTAAGAGGCTTCAAGCATGTTGGAGTGATTTATCACCTTAACCAAATGTCTGTCTTTTTCGCAGGAGAAAGGTCTTGGTGACTCATGAAAGTTCAAACATTGATATTACTGGAGAAGTTCTACAATGCCTTACACCATCTGCATGGCTCAATGACGAGGTACTACTGGTTACTCATGCTTATATTTTACCACCATTAAGAGCTATTAAATAACATATTTTTCGTTTGATGTGTTCCTTTTCTGGTTTTTAGGTTATCAATCTCTACCTTGAACTTCTCAAAGAAAGGGAAACTAGAGAGCCCAAAAAGTATTTGAAGTGTCATTTCTTCAATACCTTTTTCTATAAAAAGGTTTGTTTTCTTTTTATGTGCTCACATCATTCGTAAGAACAGTATTGGATCTTCTTATCTTCTGTATAACATGAATGGCGGTGCCTTTTGTTCAGCTGGTAAGCGACTCTGGCTATAATTTTAAAGCTGTTAGAAGATGGACTACGCAGAAAAAGTTGGGATATGCTCTTATTGACTGTGACATGGTAAGTTTTTCGAAGAACCTGAACTTTTTAGATTCCCTATGTTAATTTTACAAGTTTAGTCCAATTTAGCTACTTGTAAACTAGTCTTTGCCCTGTGCAGGTATTTGTTCCCATCCACAGGGGTGTACATTGGACCTTAGCAGTTATTAATAACAGGGATCGCAAGTTCTTGTATCTCGATTCGCTAAATGGAGTTGATTCTAAGATTTTGAATGCTCTGGTATAGTTTAGTTCCAACTCTCATTTCTTTTTTATTTAGTCCCTTATTGACGTATTAGAAGGATATTAAATGCTTTGGACCTAATGAACGTACTATTATTTATCCTTCTGGTCTTCTGGATGCATCTCAGTTATCATACTCACACATAAAAACAAAGCTGACTAAAATCTGGAAAGCTCTCTCAGTTCACCTATATGCAATGGATGGTTCTGAAGTGAATGTTATCATAGTACAGCTCATTATTTCTTGATTCTAAACTCTTGACATTTTGGAGATTCGAGAAGCTGTTATTGCTTTTTGATATCATATACTAGCGTGACACTATCCTGATGCTGCTATGTGTGCTTCAGGCAAAATACTTGGGTGATGAAGCTAAGGAAAAAAATGGAAAAGACATAGATGTAAGTTCGTGGGAAATGGAATTTGTTGAAGACCTTCCCCAACAACAAAATGGGTACGTGACTATCCTTGAACTTACTATGTATGTGAAAGGAACTATTGTTTGAAAGCATTCCTTGCAGAATCAGCTAATTGTTTAGTTAAAAGTATAGACCTAGTGTGAGATTGATAACAAAAAGAACAAGTCGTGATTTTCATAGTTTCCTGCTGGGCTGTTTCAAAAATATCGTTGTCTTGATGGTGTGGTGTCGAATCACAAGCATTTTCCAATACGAGGTTTTAAACTAATCAGCAAAAGCGGAACTAACAGCTAAAAACTGACCAATCAAACACAATCTGAATGGCTGGAATCTACCAAACTATGTGCTTATGCTTTTAGCTCCTCTGTTTGAGCACTGTGCTAACTTCTATGTTGTTATTTTGGTTGCAATATTTATATTTGTCAGGTATGACTGTGGAATGTTTATGCTCAAGTACATCGACTTTTTCAGTAGAGGCCTAGAGTTATGTTTCAGCCAGGTAAGCTATCAGAATCCAGATCCCTCAATACTTCAAGAGATTGTAGATAAGAAGAGTAGACTCGTTGTCTGGAATTCGTTATGGAATTAGTATTATCTCGTAAGCAGTTTATTAACCTTTTGCGTATTCTAAGATTTGATACAATAGTTTGTTCTGTCTTGTTTTACTTTTCTCAGGAGCATATGCCATACTTCCGGCTAAGAACAGCTAGGGAGATTCTGAAACTACGAGCTGACTAAAGTTTCTTGGGGGATATTATGCGTCTCTAGGAGTGCTATTTTACTTTCCATTGTTGATTTGACACTCTTAAGTTTGACACTCAGCTTAAGAGGCAGAGGTAATCACTGAGCCCAAAGCTTTCTTTTTCTTTTTGTTCTTTATTATATTTTTGTGTAAAAATTGTAAATGAAGCTTGTTGGATTTGGTTAGGTTAACTATAAACGAATAGATGTTCTGACCTGGTCTAGTTTCTTCCCTCTATATGCTCTCAATTCCGTCGTCACATGTTTAGTGAAACCGGTATGACATCAAATCCGGTTCAGTTTCTTGATCTCGATTAAGTGTTCTTATCACGCCCATAGCTGATTACTTTAATCACAATCAACTATTTTGATTCCTTGGAAGCAAATTTCTTACACAAATTTCCCCAGTACATTATAAACCCCAATGTGTTTCTTCGAATATAACTTCTGTTAAAACTAGAAATGACATCACTGTTACTAACTACGGCAGTATAAAGAACTTTAATTCACATTTCGTTATCATTAACTTTCCAACGGGTCGGTGATACCTCTTTCACTTTCTCTACCTGATCTGAAGTGGAACCGCCATAAGAGTTGCTCATATATCTGATTTCCCTCTGCCCCTTGATATCGATGGTATTCCACTTTGATCTCTAAAGTTGGCCTACTATGAAGATGGGTGCTGCTTAAATTCAATACCCCGAGTAGTCCAAGATTTAAAGATGGATTTTCTAATATTTGTACACATATTAAGGACTAGATGTTTTGTCCGCATTTAAGGGTTTAATAATTTTACTAATAGCTATAAATAACTATATAATCAATTTAAGTAAATTATAATAAATTATTATTTATAAACTCAAAATATTTAATAATAAACTAAACAAATTCTTTATATATATAAAATTTTTCATCATCATATAAATACTTTTCATTACACATATTAATTTTGAAAATACTCATAAATTTAAAATATTTAGTAACAAATTGATATCATTTTTCGACATAACAAAAATGTATAATAAATTATCTTTAGCAATGTTTTAGATAACACAAAATAAATTACTAGGGTAGCTCCGCGCTACGCGCGAAATTTGGTTTACATGTAATATATATAATTATATTATTGTATATTTTCATTGTATATATTTTATGTTCATTTTTGCAAGAAAAATGTATTTTGACATTTATGGTCTCTAATAATATTAAAGTTTGTAGGAATTATGTTTGAGGTGTAAGTGGGTTTTCTTATTGTATTCTTTATAATTAGTAATCTATATATAATTTGTTGACTAATATTAGGTTGCTCTAATTTGGGATCTTAAGTGTGTAGGCATGTATATTCAGAAATCGGCTCAACCCCTATTTGCATGTGAAAGTATTAGCTGCAGATTGAACATCTATAAACTTATTCGAAGTATCATAGGTTGTAAGTAAAATTTACATTACGGCCAGGTGATCCATTAATATCACTCTCTCTCACACACACACAAAGAAGAGGAAGCAAAGTTGCAATGACGTCCACAGCTTCAACTTCTCCGTGTTCTTCACGTGTCCACAGCTTCATCAAAATCTTATCTCTTGCACCCAAAACCACAAAACCCTCCTTTCCCTTCTCCATTAAAAACCACCAGATTACTCGATCATCTCTGCAAATGGAAGACAAATCCATAAAGTCACTTTCTTTGCGAGTAGCCTTGGCATCTATCCTCTTCTTTTTTTTCGTCGCCAAAAGCATTGGACGAACTGGTTATTGCTAACCAACCCGTCATTATCGAAGCTCAAGAAACCAACTTTCATATTGGGTTTGGCCTCGGTAACACATATTTTTATATTCGCATGAACACTTCTCGGAGAAAAGAAGCTCACACTGAAGTGTAGATTGTGGCAAAATAAGATAAGAAGCTGTTTAATGTGATGAATCTGTAACTGGGTATGTTTCGCTTGATGGAAAAGATATCAAAAGGCACGACTGAAAACCTACGTACAAAATCACCACGGGGACTTCAGTAACACAATTCATTGAGTGGTGGAAATTATAGAATGGAAAGAACCCTAACAATCGATTCAACACGCACAAAGAGAATTAGAACTCCTCACCATTGGGTTGGTTCATCAAGCGAAGCCTGAAGCCCACAAAAATCCAGTAGCCCATCCCATTGCCATTCACTTAATGAAGAGCATCGTTTTGGTATTATAGGATAGGTGTAGGGCTGAGGTTGAGCGAATTGATGATGTGGCTTAATGAGAGTAAAGCAAACATTCTTTATATATATAGATAGATAGAGAGATAAACTAATATACAAATTTATCTTAATATTTGATTTATTTAACTAAAAATAGCATTGACATTTAGAAATATCTTAGAATAGTATTAACTATTTATTTTACTATACAGTTTTAAAATATAATTACAGTAAACTGGATTTAGTACAGTGAAGTTCTTTTCGCTCTCAGTTATATATTTGTTTAATGAGTTAATCTTTTATATATTTTTCTTAAAACTAATGATATACACGATATATAAGAAACTAATTTATTCATTATAACTAAAAATATTTTAAGATAAACAGATAATATGAAATTATCATTATCTATTACCATACATGAGTTACAGAACATGTCAGTTTTAAATATCACACTTGATATCTTCGTATCCGAGAATCAACAAATTCAACTACACATTGTTCACAAAATTTTGGGTCTTCTTTTCTATTTCCGATCACTCGATAATCTCATGAAAACATCACCATTTTCAACAATTCAATGTCAATATTCAAAGAAGCCATGTAAAACCACCGATTAAGTACCATGTCTCCTCGGGCGCGTGACCACCGTTAGACCATCCTGTGCTCATGCACTACTGTTCCCTTGCGAACAATATCGAGAATCACAATTAACTATTCTAAACCAAAGAGTCAATATCCACAAGTTTCACAACTGGTAGCCAGATCTCAACAATCAAATGGTTTTACGTTTCCTCAAGCTAGGCAGATACTTTATTGCAGAGTATTGTCATGTGATACAGAGAAAACAGACAATATACGATGTCCACAACTAATAAATTCTATATTACTTCACCAAAGAATTACAATATAAACTAACACCAATCTTTGTATCAAATGATAATTTGTAAATAGTTCCCAAGATCAATAAAAGTTTTGATCTTTACTAATCGTTGAAGCTCTTTCTAAAATACTCTCTCTAATACACTTCTCCTTCTTTGTTCTTACTCGCTCGTGATAAAGTATGTATTTGTAGGCTGCTTGCTTACAAAACCAGGTCATAAAACTATGAACTTTAATCTAATTCTAGGAATTCATCTCTATCTCTGCAGTAGACAATTACTCTTAGTTAATATTGTGTATTAAATATTGATAAGCTTATTTTGGTACGGGATGGTGTTGCTTACTTTATAATCTCCCCATATTCCCGCCGTAAGGACTGAAAACTAATAGGAGCTTCCCCAGATCAATTATCTTTTTAAACATAGACTAAACCCAATCTAAGAATCTCAGCTGTGACGTCGTCTGCCGATTTTCCTTTTTCCTCTGCTAGCAGAACCAAGATCCTGATAAAAAAAAACACTTAGGATCAGTCTAAGTGGCCGTACCGTGATTATCCCACCATATAACCGACTGAAATCAAGTCATATATGCACAATTCACAACTAATTCACGAACCTCATTACAAAGCAGGGAACTACGTCATGATCTGCTAAAGAACAGAGCCATCATAGAGGCTCTCTTTTTTATTTCTTCACTCGGGTGGAATCAGCATCCTCACAAACAGATTATTACAGTCGACAGAGATGGAACCTTGTATCAGCGTCCACTGTCAGTAAGAAGCTTGAAGAAGTTGGTCAAGACTATTTTTGTGTTTTTACCCCCCAAAAAAAAGAATAACTCCGTTAACAGTAAAGAAGAAGAAGATAAACGCGTACCTTTTCATTAGTCAAGAGTAAGTCAAACCACATGAGTTCTCCACATTTCTTAACGTTTTGCCTCCCAAAAACGCAGAACCTGTGTCAAAACGTCTTAGGAATATTCAGATGGAAAGCATGATTGGAGAGGTACCATCTCTGAAAGCTCTACTGGAGTAGTATACATAATACGGCGAATGTAGCAGCAAAATATTCATTACAAAGTAACTCAGGGTAAACCTATATTCTAAAGCCAATAATCGCTCAAAATTACTGATCTTAACATAGTTACAGATGCTAAAATAAAAAGACGATCGATCAGCATAGATATTAACTAAATTTTAAGTCTGAAAGTAATAAGAGTGTTTGGTTGCCGGAATTACCTTTTAAACCAAAAGTAGCATGTCGAACCCTATAATCCCGCCGCTTTTCTTCACATCAAGATGAGTCCCAAAATCTTAGCAAAGGGAATTCGCATGTCGATGCGTTTTGTTTCTCCACGCAACTCGGGAGGCGATACGTCGACGGCGCGGGATCGTGAAGGAGACGGGAGAGAAAGGTTCCGCCTTTAACCTAATCAAACCCTGTATAAACTAATTTGGGCTTCTTGTTAAACGGATAAGCCTAGGAGATAGATTGTTTAATGAGGCGCACCGTTTTGGACAAAAGGGACACTTGTCGCTCGCTGGTTAACCTATTTAGTGACGTCATTTGCTGAGGTGGGGGAAGGAGAAGAGAGTACACCTCGTCTTTATATATATAAAGATCTGTACATAATTGTTTTGTGAATTGATTTTTAATAATTAACTATATATTAACAAACAGAATTATTTTTCAAGGTTAATAAAGATTTTATAACAAAATATAAAAAAATTAGATAAGGATAATTATCAAATTCATGAAATTCGTTTTTAATTTAGAATTAATTATATATTAAAAATATAATTATTTTTCAAGGTTAATAAAGACTTTATAACATAATATAAAAAAATTTAAATAAGGATAATTATCAAATAAATGAAATTAATGTTTAATTTATAATTAATTATATATTAACAAATATAATTATTTTTCAAGGTTAATAAGACTTTATAACCTAATATAAAATAGTCTTAGATAAATATAAATCTAAAATCATTGAAATTCATTTGAATAATTAAAAATTTCAATATATAATTAAACATAATCTATACTATTATTTGCGAAGTGATTAATGTGAGAGCTCCGTTGCGAAAAATCACTTCGCAAAGTCTTATACCATTATTCTATACTATTATTTGCGAAGTGATTAATCTATACTATTATTTACGAAGTGATTAATCTATACTATTATTTGCGAAGTGATTAATCTATACTATTATTTGCGAAGTGATTAATGTGAGAGCTCCGTTGCGAAAAATCACTTCGCAAATAATAGTATAGATTATGAAGATATCATTTGTTGCAATTATCAATTTCCAATAATAGTTTAATAAATTTAAGAAAAATGATCATTTAAACCCCAACTTTCAAATTAAAGCAAAACAAATTTAAACTAAAGTTTGAACCAAATAAACTCTCAACTTTTAAATAGTGTCTAATTTAACTCTCAAATTATATTGACCAAGCCAATCAAAAACCATTATTAGTCAACAGTTAAAAATCAATCAAAAATGTTAAACATCCGTTAATAATAAAACGTTGTTTTGAATTAAATATTAAACCCATTTAATCTTTGCTTTCGTGAACCAAAATTCTCAAACTTCAAAACACTAAAATCTCTAGTTCTCCAATCCTTCATCCGTCTATGAATTAATGACAACGGATCTTAGGCTACGACGAGACTGGCGATCTCCAATCCTTCTTCTTTTCTGAAACCCTAAATAACGATTTCATAGTGGTGATGATTCAGGCAATCTCTGATGAATACAAACAGTGGCTGTTCTCCAATGAAAACAAGTAGTGGCTGTTCTGGCGGAGGTAGGTGTTCTCTTATCGTCAACTCAAATGTCATCACCACTTGACATCTCCAAAGTGAGATCTTAGATCCCCGACAAATTCTTCTTCGACGCCTATACCGTTCTCCTCAGCCGCATTATCACATTCATTTTTGTGAGTCAAAAATTTTTTTATTACATCTATTTTCGTGAGACAAATTTTTTTTCTAAAAGATATATTTTAATGAAAGTCCTCTTAGTCCATCGATTTGATTAATAGTTCATTAATGTTTTTATAAAGAGGTCTACGATTCAAACAATGAGAATTATGTATATTATAGAGAAAAACATATTACAAGATTTTATCATATTTCTTACACCGTGATGAAATCTTTTTTTTATCCTTCCTTAAATAAACGATTTCATCACAATGTAATAAATATGGTGTAAGGTGTAAGGAGTACCGTCCAACGTTAGGATAATTTAAAAAAAAAAATTTTGTGTTTCGTTAAGAGTAAAAGCCGGTTAAGGTTTCCCAAATCGAATACAAAACAAAACAAAAAACGAGACCAAATCATACCATAAACTAAATTTGCTCATTCTGTACAACTTACCACGGTCACCTTACTTAACTTCGGCAACAACTATAAGAATATGGATGACAAACTCATGGGCCCACAGCGAGGCCCATGAGCCCGAACTATTTCCCTCCCGTTGTGTAGTATATAAACACCATAAACCCTAAAGACTCCTAAAAACCATCACCGGAGATTCTGACGGTGACTTAGCACTGACGGCTACTGCAAGAGGATTGTTTATCATCTTATTCTGGAAGAACATAACGTCTTTTGCAGTAGCTAAAAGCTAAGCTCTCCATCGTCATATATATTTAGCATTACAAGTATTCTAATATCTAAATAAGAAAATGGCAGCTCATTCACTATCCAGCGCCGTTAAATCTCTTAGCTTCGCCGCATCCAACAGTCTTTCTGGTTCCATTGTCTTAAGGTACTTTGGAAAAATATAAAATGCTACCGTGAAATCATATTTTATTCATTATTGACGTATTTTGAACACTGTACTAGGAGGAGTTACGTTGCGACAGCACCAGGATTCAGTAAGGGAGCTTCCACCAGAGTTACCGTGGGGAAGATCAAACAAAAAGCATATCAAGAGGCAGAATCTGCATGGGCTCCAGATCCAGTTACGGGATACTACAGACCCTCTAATCGTGCGGATGAGATTGATCCACCGGAGCTCAGAGAGATGCTTTTGAAAAATAAAGCTAAGCCTTTCTGAGGATTTTGAATGGTTGGTTCTACGGGAGGTTGTGTCGTACGCGATTGTCATTCTTTGGTTTGTTATGTTTGTCACTGTCTATTTCCTATGGAGATTTGAAGTAAAAGAAAGATAATATTAATCAGTTGAAAATATATTTGGATCAATTTTATGTATCTGAAGTAGTGCTGGGACTTCGGATGTTCGGGTGGTTCGAGTAAGATCCAATCGGGTCCGGATCTTTTAGATAAATGAATTCTATACCCAATACGTATTTGGTAGATTTTTGGTTCGGGTTTTAGATCATGTACCACCGGTTTCGAGTCGGTTCAGGATACCCATTTATTATGTAAATCTTACATATATATATATATATATATATATATATATTTACCAAATATAGTAATATACATATAAATTGAAGTGGTCCAGTGGTTACATACTCGACTGTTATGTAAGCAACTCGGGTTCAAATCTGTTAAATGCAGTTTAATTAAAAAGGTTAATATTGAAAGCTAATATATATTTACAAAATAGTAGAATATGTAAATGTTGAAGTGGTCTAGTGGTAACATTGGTCGCTTCTCTACCTCGCTAACCCGGGTTCAAGTAGAGATGATTGCATTTTTTCTAATATTATGGGTTTCAACTATTTATTTCGGTTTAAACAAGTACTCGATCGGATTTCGGGTAATAACAGAAACTGACCCGATACCTACCAATATTAGAAGCATAGACCCATCAGTTAATATGGTCATATCCGAAACCGAATCAAACCTGTTCATTTCGGGTCGAATCCGGTTCGGGTAAACGGTTCTCATTAAAAGTCCCAGCCCTAATCTCAAGTTCGGGACAAAGTATTTTCGTACATATGCTGACTTATCTTAGTAGAAGAGATCTTGAAGCTTAAAATTTAATATTGGAGACGATTATCATTTTAATCAGAAAATGAAACGTCCGGATGAGAATAGCTAAATTAGTTTAAACGTCAATAAACATGATAATTTCGTTTTTGAATTATTTATTTTGTCCCATTTTTATAGTTTCTTATACAACAGCAAAATTATGGCCTCAATTGGTACAATTGTTGATAATACAGTATGATGTAAAATGATTGGTATAACAGTAGCATAATGCAATTTTAATAATTAGCATAAAAACTAATATAATAATATATTTATTTTAAAATAATATTTATATATTTTTAATATATATTAATAAGATTTTTGTTAAAAATAATGAATATTATTCATTATATAAATTATATTCTATTTTATATGTGAAATATTATTTAAAAAGTAAAACTTATTTTTAAGATATTAAATAATTTTTGAATATAAACATAATTTCTCATATTAATTAATTAATAATATATAATTTGTATATAAATCATCATTATTTATATATTGGTAGAGCAATAAATGATTCATATATAAAATCATCATGAAAATTAATATAGATTTGTTTATATCTATAATATGTAATTAAATATTAAGTATGTTTGTTATTAAAAATAATGAATGATATGTGTAATTATATAAATGATATTATATTTTAAATGTGAAATATTATTCTTTTAAAAAATGTTTTAAAAAAAGAATTGCAATTTTCAATCTTAAAAGTATTAAATTGCAATTTTTTATTTTTAAAAATTTAAATTTATTTCTACAAAGAAATATTATATTATTAAATAAAAATAAATTATTTATATATAATTTTTTTAAATTTTTCTATATTTTAACTGTAAATGCTCTCCCAAAAATTTCACATGAATGCGGACAAAGAACATTTGGATAGCATCAATGATATCACTCAAATTACCCTAAAGAGTGAATTATTCTCTCAAATAAAAGGTTCAATTGTAGTACTTAGGGATCGAATCCACAAGGAACTAAGTAACACAAAAGATATAATCCTAAGTGATTATGCTAGGTTGATTAAGGTTTAAAAGTAAATTGCGGTTGTGAGCAATGGTGAGTTGCTCAAGAGAATTGGTTTTAGGTTTTAAACAGTAAAAGAAAGTAGTTAAATTCAAGGTTACTATTCAGGTAATCAGGATTATAATGCTATAGATGTCTTTATAAGTTGCTTGCAAGATATTAAAGAACTTCAATTCTTAGATAAGACTAATTGCTATCGCTATTAGACTCGTCCATTGATCTGACTGCCGGCAATATCGACTGATGGTACGATCGCCATATCGAACGATATAGGTAGCCATCGATCGATTACTCTATAGGAGTATCGATCGATATAGCTTTAGATCGAATTGAATATGTGTTCACCAAGATCACAGACCGGCTCTCGCTCGTCCCTAGATGATCTCAGCTTATACCAGATGATTTCAGGATGATGATTAACAAGTTAAATCATTCCATGATCATACTCTAGTTAGCTTCTCTAGAATAAGCATTAGGGTTCATCAGGATAATGAATATCAGAACTCAACAATCCATACTTGGGGCTAATCCCTCATAATTATTTGAGCCCTAAATCTAACAAGTGAATCTACTCAGACATGACTAAGTGATTCATAGTAGCATGGTAATAATAGAAATTCATTAGATTAGAAGATTGAACTCTTGGTTCTTTTGAACAACAAATCTCTTTATGTGTTTCTTCTAAATCTAAAATTCTATAACCTTTAGAAAAATGAGAACAAGATGAAAAGAATACTTTTATAAATCAAAGAACATAAAAAGCATGTAAAGCTTTTGAAGTACAAAAAGCATGTAAAAGCACAAAAAGCATGTTTTGCCAAAATACATAGGCAAAACTATAAATATGAGTTCATTAGGTTAAAAACTCGCCAGGGGCAATCTTGTAATATTGATAGAATTTGGGCTTCAAGGCCGAGTCAACTTGTTCTTTACGCTTCATATCGATCGATGGTACATGGTGTACATCGATCGATGGAGTATCTCAATTCGTCATCCTCTTCGGAAGTGTCGTCGATCGATTACACAGGATTTGTATCGATCGATATGTATCTCTGGATATCGACCTTATTGTCTGATCTTTATAGTCATCTCAGGAAATCTCTCCTTTAAGTCCATAAGGAAACCTAAATCATCACTTTACTCCAAAATGCTCCTGAACCTGAAAACATACCTAATAGACTCCAAAACATATAAATATATTATAAAATCATATAAATACCATGGTCAAAAGTGGGTCAAAACCATGGTATATCAACTCCCCCAGACTTAACCTTTTGCTTGTTCTCAAGCAAACACAACAGTTAGTCTTTGAAAGAAGTTTAAAAACAGCAGGGACTCAAACAAACCTTAATCTTAAGATCATAACCTCTACTTTGTTGCAAATCACATCTCATATTGCTAACTACAGAAGTACATTATACCATATCCTAGCTTAGCAACCTAATTCATCTAGCCAATCAACTTAGCAATCCTGTCTGTCTATCCCCTCTACTGATTTCATTTATGCATAAAATAAAAGTGAAGGCTTTACCTTGGGAGTATCAATCAAGGAACACTTGGATTCAACTCAAAAAAGTTTCAGGCATTTCATTCTGGTTTCTTTTCTCCCTATATCCCCCTTCTCCGAATCCCAAATTTTCTTTTTCTTTTATATCAATCCCAATGAACAACAGATGTTCATCTTATTGATCTTTCTACGACTTTTTGTAGTCTTTTCTGACAAAGTGTAGACGAATAGTGGGGTCATGGGTAATGTACCTCTCTCTCGCTTCCACAATGTGTGGTCATTCCTTTGAATTAGAATAGTGAGGTCATGGGTAATGTATATCTCCCTCTGTCTCTCAGGAAATCATCTCAATCTTTTATTTTTCTCTTTAGGGATGCCAAAGGGAGGAGAGAAAGAAACCAAAATTATCAAGACTTTTACCTTCCAGACTTGTAGGAGGATTCCAATCCCTTGTATACCAAGCCACAAGACAAGCAATAAATGTCTGGTTAGGTTGGAAATCAACTTTGGTTCTTCCAAACGATCATGAAAAGTGTTGTCATAGGTGACTGGTGATCCACTTTTGCATCTATAGTACTTTTTGCAATCAACAATTCTAAGAATGATGCTACAGAGTTGTTAGATAAAACTAAATTTTTTTAAAAATCTTTTTGTCTCCTTCTTGACTCAATAAAACCAATTTTGAAAACATTTAATTATATCAAAAAGGTAAATTAGCATCATTAGTCTCCACTCCCCCAGACTTAAATCATACACTGTCCTCAGTGTATAACCAGTCGGAGTTAGTGCATAAATAAATAAAGTATAACTGATATCAAAAATTGTGAACGATATACCTGACCGATGTTTGTATCGATCGATGATGAGTCACTTCCATCGATCATCATGGATTGGTTTGTATCGATCGATGTCGACAGTATCGTATCGGTCGATAGAGGTAGTGATCGTGTATCATCTGAAATAAAATAAAACAAAAGTAATAAGTAAAAATAAATTAAAACTAAGGAAGAAAATACCTAATAGTGGGTTGTCTCCCACTCAGCGCTTAGTTAAAGTCTTTTAGCTTGACTATGGAGGTATGGTGGCTAGTGAGGTGAATTGCAGGTACTTGTTGGGAAACAAGTACCCTCCTTGTCTTGTGATTCTTCAAACCATGAAGTTAAGAAGCTTCTTGTGGCTTTCTCGCTTCTGGTCATACTAATTTTCAATCCTTGGACCTCATAATGGATTCTTTGTAACCACTCCTCAATGCTTGCTATGCTGAACTCATGTTGTCCAATCTTACTGTAGGTGTGTTCTAGATCAATACTCAGCTGCATTGTGTCGAGGTTTTGGATGTTTTGCACATGGGAAGGGATAGTATCGACCGATCTCGGTGTAGTTATGTCGTTCGATGTGGATGGATGTCCATCGGTCAATGGGTTTAGAGGCACGTCGATCGATGCGGATGGTGCAGGTCGGTTGGCGAGCTGTCTCTGAATGTTTTCTATCTCCTTCTGAATTCCTTCTGTTGTGCATTCCAATCTTTGAACGTCACTCTGTACTGGGAACCAAATCTTGTCGAGAAATCTATA